TCTCCGAATACCAAAAAAGGGGTCCCTAGTTCGATTCCTCGTGGTGACAAATTTTTGCATTTCGAGTTGACGTTTCAAAATTCGCGCAAAATGGAGTTAGCATGAACGAATGAATGCCATATTCATACATAGGACCGTCAGTAACCCTTACAAATAGACTTTGATGAAAAAGCTGTGACACCAGAACGGCCCCCACTTTGGCGTCACAACTTTTTCACCATATTTTTGATCAAAGTCTATTTTTTAACGGTTATTGACGGTCCTAATTATGAATATGGTCTTCATTGTCCATGCTAACTTCACTCGACGCGATCACCTCAAGGGATCGAACCCCTTTTTTGGTATTCAGAGGGCCGTTCAGGAAAAATTAAACATGGTTCTGTGGTTCCCGCATGTGCCCCTATATCATGCAAAAGACCGTTTTCAAAAAGCTTGTCACGCCCTGAAAGACCTTCCTGGTAAGTGCACTCATTAGCTGGTATATATTTGCTTCTCTCCAAGCTTCCGAGAACACTTTAACATTTTCGGATCGGGTTTTATCCCCACCCGCCTCGGTGCGCCCCACCACCAATAGCCCTCTTCGGTAGCCTTACTCACTTCTTCACCAGCGTCGAGGCAGTCTCAGAACCGAGTTCTAAGTTTGGAGGGAAGCTCTTCGGCGTGCGCCTCATCCACCAGCAGCAGTTGACGTCTCCTTCTTTGCTCCATTTTCCACACCCACATTTTTTCCTGTTTTCGGGCCTTCTGGAACCGAATTTTAAACTCGGAGGCTAACTCTGCCCACATTGGACACGCTCGCCCACCATCACCATACCCTCCTCGTATAATCTCTTTCCCGGTTTCTGAACCATGAGGATTTGTGATAACACTGCCTCAAAAATACAACAAAATGCCTAATGCGTTACTTCCAAACCTCGGGTGTTTCATCATCGTGGTGATGGGAATGACTGATGCTCACTCGAGGTGTACCGAGTTGGAAGAAGCCCATGTTCAGGTATCTGAAGTTCAAAGTTTAAGTGTTCACGTCACTGAAGGTAATCAGTGAATGGAATCATAATGAACCTCTGTAGAAGTTCCAAATAGCAGCCGCTAACAGTGAACGCAAACAAGTAATCGGCAGGGAAGATGGTCTGGGTGAAGATCATGGAAACCAATGTCGTCTTCGAGAAACTGAAATGCTTGTCTCAAGAATAGTTAGCGTCTTTCGAGAATTCATATTGTTAAAGCTGACTTGAAGGTCTCGTCAGTTAACTGATACTTGATCAGAGAGGTGTCGAAGAAAGTGATACCGAAGTGAATCCAAGCCATTAGCAACCCTCCTGAAAGGGGGAGAATCCATGAAGAGGAAATTTCATCAGTTACATCTATTCCAAAATGGTGATGGTAACGTTTGTTCTCAAACAAGAGCACACTTTCACGTTGCTGCTTGAAGCGAGATCCCACCTACGAGCAGCCAACGGCAAAAATCGTTTTGTGTAGCTCGGCAATCGCGATCCGACAAGGCCAGAAGTCGTCGCATAGATAAGTATTGCAGCCACTGGGAAGCCTGCCAACGAAGAAATTTTAGACCAACAGGAAAAACCTGCTACTGATTGATTCAACCACTTCGAGCTACCGGTGCATGCAAAAAGAATCGTCCGGATATCCCTCGCAACCGCGTCGGACTTGCAAGAGGAGGACGAGTTCTGGGAGCGACCATTTAAATTTCAGTTAAAAGGCCACAAAGTTGAACCCCATCCCGTTTTTTCACTCAGGTTTCAACATTCTCCTGCGTAAAACAATTTAGTTCTCTCGGTCGTTATTCTTTTCCGTGTTTTTTCAATGGTGTGATATAAAACTTTGGTATCGAATCTTGTCGTCCCCTTTTTAAAAAGTAAAAGAAGTAGCGTTCCACCGTTAGATTATCCGCGTTCCATCATAGAGCGTGCTACCAATCGCAAACAAAGCCGCGCCCAGCGGAAAGGTGCCGCGTTGCGACATCGCATAAGCGGCCGCGCGCAGTGATGCCACTCTCGTACGATTCTGTTGACCGTTCCCAGTTGAACCATTGCCAACCTGAATTGTAGCATAGCAAATGGTTGCAATAACTGCATCATTCGTAGTAGTGAACCCATCCTTCCGCTGAAATTCCACTTCCACCCACTGATGTAAGATCTGAAATAACTTTGCCTTGTCACTGCCCCCCCAACGTATGTATTTACTTCTGTGGAGAATTTGAAATGGGCTATAGGCTGCTCACAAACTTGACAAATAGAATGACGCAGCAACCAAACAGAATAGAAATATCTCCTCTAGCATGAGCTTTGTGGTGTGCATCAAGCCTGTCGTTACTCAGACTTCTAGCGAACATGTACAGCTAAAACAGGAGCAGGTTGAACAGGATGATCAAAATGAGGAACAACAGAACTCACAACAGTGAAAAGAATGAGTTGAAGGATGTCGGCAACAAGTGAGACGTAATCGTTCGTAAGCCAGTGAATTTCCATTAGGTGATCAAAATCTGTGAAATAGTGAAATCGCGGCCTTGAGGCTCTTTGGTAATTTATATAGCCTCAGGATTCGTGCATAGCACGACCAAAAATTCCAAAATTTGTTCTCTGTATTCATTCCGACACAAATCACTCAGCAGTGAACGCGACGGAACGGTCTTCACAACGAGCTTCATAATGAGGTACAAGAACCGGTCTTTGTACTGGGTTGGTGAAAAAATTGATAGGTGACGCTTTCAATTGCAATGCCTTCACTCGACGCAACCGAGCTATTCTACGGTTCTTAGCCACCTTCTTGATGCCGTAGTTTGACATAGCTTGAAGTTTTTCCACTCCATCAGACGCGAAACGTTGTCCAAGCCGAAATCTCTCTTTTTACAAGTATGCTCGTACAAAACTCCAACCTAGGCGGGACTCGTACCCGCACTTCTCGCCTCGTCGGGTAGGTGCGCTAGAAGCTTTGAATTGTTAGTATAGCTAAGCCGGTCGGGCCGGTGATGTGAACCTTTTTGGATCCAGCAATTCGCTAGTAGCAACTCCACGAAGTCGCTAATAGGGAATCGCTTAATTTGCTTTCTAGCACCAGCCTTGGGGCGAAAGCGGACCGGTAGCGTAACTTGTGGCGCACTTCTCCGGTAAGGTTGGTGGCAGAGTCGCGCGACATACGCGAATCCGGGCTCTTAATCACGGGAAAGCGGAAATCAACAGGCAGAGAGGGGTTCCACTTATTGGATTCTAAACCGTTCCTCTTCGTTTTTCTACAACACAACACCATTGACCAGCTCTGCTAGTCTTGTGAATGGTGGTCATTTTATTGTAGAATCTGCCTTTAACTGTCCCTCAAGCAGGGTGAATATCGGTCGAGGAAATCCTCGACAGGGGGGTCGTACTTGTCAGGGCTGGGTCATGGGGGGTCGTACTCGTTGGGGGTCAGTAACATCAGTGGTATCGTGGTGCAGATAGGTAATAGGGTATAG